TATGTTACTACTAGTGATAGTGTTTAGCTCTTGGAATCCATGCATGACCATTTAGACCCACCTATCAATCAAATGACCGAAAACTCGCAAAAACAAGAAAACTCTTTGGCTGAACACTAACTCATTTGATTTGGGCTAAACTAGTGTGCGGTTGACTTCATATTTTGATCGTTATATTTCGCTCGTTTCTTTGAATCAAATAACGGCAAAGAAAATTGGAAACTGACTAACAAGATGATGAAACTCCTGATTTTGCTGATAGCTTTGAGCAGTTGGCTCACTTTGGGCTTGCCTTCAAATGGTGTGTTATGAAAATGTTGTAACATATTCCCCTCATTTTGTTTATCATTCATATACACCTATCTACATCTAGACAAAACATTCTTAAAGAAAAATAGAACTTTGAAATTTTATTACAACAGGAATAACTAAAAAGACAAAACAAAATATAAACGCAGGTTGAACGCTTTTCAATGTCTTTTTAACGTTTTAAATTACAAACGTTCTCGATTGCTTTCAGAAAAAGGACGAAACACTAATTACTAAATTGTGCAAAATAGTGCTAGTTGAACTAGAGAAAACAAAAGAATCAATAGAATAGAGTGATCACACTTAAACCGTGCAACTGTACAAAATCTAAATAGTAATAATTTGTACTAAAAGTGGACCTGAAGCAAGACGATATTGAATTCTTCATTTGTATCAATTCAATTTAATTCGCGTACCGCATGCACGATTTACTAAATACAACTATAAATTGAACTATTTAGTTTGTACAGTTGCACGGATTGTGCGATAACTCTAAAAAGTGCAAATTGTACATATTATTTAAAATTTTTCACGCTTTCACTAAAAGCCCTCTATTTCTTTAGGACAACGTTTTTGTAATTAGGTTTTACTTAAGTTATCACTAATTCATCTTTTGAAATACTATTCGAAAATATAACTAACATCTAAGTATAACGAATACAGTATTGAACAAGATTGTAATGTAGACATCCGCAATACGCAATGACTGATAAAAATCATGTGTTTATATTGTAGGTATGATTCAGCAAGATTCCAGCAAGAAGGGTGATGAGGATATTCTCAATCACTCCATCTGTAGCCATCTCAGAGAAAAAGATATGTGCAAGAGAAGCCATCACGTTAAGAAAAAACTGTGTAAAGCCACATGCGGTACGTACTTCATTATTTTTTATTTCACGCTTGATTTTCCTTTTTGTCATGATATTTTGTGCAAATTAAATCATTAAATGTGTCGATAACTATGCATGGAGTTCGGGTTATGAGTACTTGCCAGCCAAGAACTACACGTTTCAGATTCCACATGTATTAGATGGAAGTCATTTATGATTTAAGAAATATAAAACGGCGCGCGTGTCTCTGTCCTCTGATATAAACACGGTCGTCAGCCAATCAGAGCGCGCGTTATATATCAAAAATTTTATAATTTATCATAACAAATGTTTAAATTAACTTCTAAAGCAAAGGCCTGCACTTTTCTTTTCTATTTGATTTACTCAATATATTAGATTAGAGGGTTTTTTTCGAATAAACATTTGAAAATTCCCAAGTTATGATATTCAGCGCGTCTTTAGTACATAATCAAGCTGCCATTCTACCAAAATGAAACCTAATCTGTTGTCTCACAAAAATCACAGTTGCTTTTGATTTCCGGCCTTGTTAGAGTAACTGAAACTAGATTTTWTTCAGCACACTTTAAGAAGACTAAGAAGGGAGTCATCGTTTTAGGAAAAGGGAAATTATTTCCAGTATAATCATAAGAGGGTGGCCCTTCATGGTTTCTCAAGATCTTATCCGATTGGTTTACTAGATGTTTGTTGAATTAAAGAAAACAATAGAATTTAAGAACGAGGAAACAATGAGCATTGTTTTATTCCTACAATCACAAGAAATCCTAAAAACTCTTGACAGAAGCACAAAGCTTTAGGGACAACGAACCATGATATGCTATGTAGCGTTGTTTTTAAAAGTTCTTGTGTTCACTTGTAGGTTGTGATGACATGATCTCACAGAAATCGTGTATCGTCCTGAAAAGATYCARTGAATGCTCCAAAAACTTGGCAATGCGCATGCGTTATTGCAAGTCGACATGTGGATTGTGTTGTGAGTATTAGACCTGTTGTATTTTTTCAGACATAGGCTCATTTTTTAAAAAATTGAATTGTTTGTCATTACACAGATAAATCTCGATGGGTTAATAATAAATATCAAAATTAATAATTCATAGCGTGTCAATCGGAAAGACCACTTGGGATGCAGAGTAGAGCCATTCCTGATTCGAGTATCACCGCGTCATCGTATTATAACTCACAACATCCCCCATCACAAGGACGACTTCACATTAGGAAATCCCGTGGTAAGTATGGAGCATGGTGTGCAAGAAGAAGCCGAGCAGGAGAATGGCTCCGAATTGACTTGGGCAAGGTTAC